GAGACCCGTCATGAAAATTTCGGCGGGGGCTGAAGCCCCGCCGCCCCCACGAAGATTACGCCTGCTGCTACTTAGCCTGGTCCCATGTCATTTATGGCTTTTGAGGTATTGTAAGGAGGGCCTTTTTCCATATAGAAGAAGAAGAAGAGATAGGATTTATACCCCGCCCTTCACTACCCAAAGGAGTCTCAGAGTGGCTTACAAACTCCTTTCCATTCCCCTCTCCACAGCAGACACCCTGTGAGGTAGGTGGGGCTGAGAGAGCTCTTGACAGAAACTGCTCTTTTTCAAGGACAGCTGTGCCAGAACTATGGCTTGCCCAAGGTCATCAGCCAGGTGCAAGTGGAGGAGTGGGGAATCAAACCTGGTTCTCCCAGATTAGAGTTCGCGCACTTAACCACTACACCAAACTGGCATGATAAAGCATCAAGTTCTGTTGATGTGATCCTATTAACTCAAGTGGTGTGGTTGGCCATAATGGCAGGGTATTCTTCCCTGTGGTTGCACTTAATTAGGGCAGCTCCCTCCCCTTCACAATAAGTCTGGTGCTATTTATGTCAGATTTAATGTGCCAGGTAAAAATATTTTTATCCTGGTTTGTATTGATTAGGATGGTGAGGGGGGCAATATTGCTTGTGTTTTGTTACTGAATCACTTACTTATATGCTGCTTTTCGATAACAGACATTTATTTAAAACATTTTTATGCCGCTGTCCAGCCAAATATGGTCTCCAAGGTGGCAAACATTAAAACATTTGGACATTAAAACAGCATTTAAAACAATATAAAAATATATACCGCAGGTTAGGAAAGGCACAAATAGGTATAGAAAAAAGCCTGCATGGTTAACAAACAAAGTAATGGAATCTGTAAAAGGTAAAAAGGATTCCTTTAAGCGGTGGGAAGCTAGTCTCAGTGAGGCTGATAAAAGGAAAATAGTAAAAGGTAAAGGTTCCCTTGATTGAAAGCCAGTCGAGTCCGACTCTAGGGTTGCGGTGCTCATCTCCGTTTCAAAGCCGAAGAGCCAGAGCGGTCCGAAGATGTTTCCGTGGTCATGTGGCCGGCATGACTAAACACCAAGGCGCACGGAATGCTGTTACCTTCCCACCGAAGTGGTACCTATTTATCTACTTGCAATTTCTTGCTTTCGAACTGCTAGGTTGGCAGGAGCTGGAACTAGAGACGGGAGCTCACTCCGTCACACGGCAACTCAGGTCTCAAACTGCTGAACTACCGACCTTCCACAGCCTGCAGTTCAGCGTCTTAACCACTTGAGTCACATTTGTTAGGTGAATAATAATAGTTGCATTTACCTTAGGTTGGCAGGAGCTGGAACTAGAGACGGGCGCTCACTCCGTCATGAGGCAACTCGGGTCTTGAACTGCTGAACTACTGACCTTCCACAGCCTGCAGTTCAGCGTCTTAACCACTTGAGCCACCGCAGCTCCAAAAAAGGAAAAAAGGCTGTGACAAATAAAATGCAAGTCTGTGATCAGGCAGGCAAAAAGGGAATATGAGGAGCATATCGCAAAAAACATAAAGGCCAACAATAAAACTTTATTCAAATACATTAGAAGCAGGAAACCAGCCAGGGAGGCAGTGGGGCTCTTGAATGACCAAGAGGTAAAAGGAGTACTGAAGGATGATAGGGAAATGCCTGAGAAGCAGAATGCATTTTTTGCCTCTGTCTTCACTGTGGAAGATGAGAGTGCTTGCCCACTCCAGAACTGTTGATTTCGGGTGGGTGTTGAAAGACCTGAGTCAGAGTGAGGTGACGAGAGAGGAGGTCCTAAAACTGATAGACAACTTAAAAACTGATAAATCACCAGGCCCAGATGGCATACATCCGAGAGTTCTGAAAGAACTCAATTGTGAACTTGTGGATCTCCTGACAAAAATATGTAATCTCTCCTTAAAATCAGCCTCCATTCCTGAGGACTGGAAGGTAGCTAATGTCACTCCCATCTTTAAAGTCACTCCCGTCTTTAAAAAGGGTTCCAGAGGAGATCCGGGAAATTACAGGCCAGTCAGTCAGACGTCGATACCGGGTAAGTTGGTGGAAACTGTTATTAAGGAAAGAATTAGTAGGCACATTGATGAACAAAACCTATTGAGGCAGACTCAGCATGGGTTCTGTAAGGGAAGATCTTGTCTCACTAACCTGTTACTGTTTTTTGAGGGAGTGAACAAACATGTGGACAAGGGGGATCCAATAGATATTGTTTACCTTGACTTCCAGAAAGCTTTTGATAAAGTTCCTCATCAAAGGCTCCTAAGTAAGCTCAATAGTCACGGGATAAAAGGACAAGTCCTCTTGTGCATCAAAAACTGGCTAACTAATAGGAAACAGAGAGTGAGTATAACTGGGCAATTTTCTCATTGGAGGGTGGTAAGCAGTGGGATACCACAGGGATCAGTACTTGGTCCAATGCTTTTTAACATGTTTATTAATGACTTGGAGTTGGGAGTAAGCAGTGAAGTGGCTAAATTTGTGGATGACATGAAGTTGTTCAGGGTGGTGAGAACTAGGGAGGATTGTGAGGCACTCCAAAGGGATCTGTCGAGGATGGGCGAGTGGGCATCAGTGTGGAAAAGGGGGTTCAGTGTGGCCAAGTGCAAGGTGATGCACATTGGAGCCAAAAATCCTAACTATAAATACATGCTGATGGGGTCCGACCTGGCAGAGACTGACCAAGAGAGAGATCTTGGAGTCGTAGTAGATAACTCACTGAAAATGTTGAGACAGTGTGCGACTACAATAAAAATGGCCAGTATCATAATTCCCCTGTATAAATCAATGGTGCGACCTCATTTGGAGTACTGTGTACAGTTCTGGTCACCACACCTCAGAAAGGATATTATAGCATTGGAAAAAGTGCAGAAAAGGGCAACTAGAATGATAAAAGGGTTGGAACACTTTCCCTATGAAGAAAGGTTAAAGCGCTTGGGGCTTTTTAGCTTGGAGAAACGACAGCTGAGGGGTGACATGATCGAGGTTTATAAGATTACACATGGGATAGAGCAGGTAGAGAAAGAAGTACTTTTCTTCCTTTCTCACAATACAAGAACTCGTGGGCACTCGAAATTGCTGAGCAGTCGGGTTAGAACAGATAAAAGAAAGTACTTCTTCACCCAAAGAGTGATTAACACATGAAATTCACTGCCACGGGTGGTGGTGGCGGCTACAAGCATGGACAGCTTCAAGAAGGAATTAGATAAAACATATGGAGCAGAGGACCATCAGTGGTATTAGCCACAAGGTGTAGATAGGAACTCTCAGTCTGGGGCAAGGGATGCTCTGTATTCTTGTTGCTTGGGGGGGGGGCAACAGTGGGAGGGCTTCTAGTGTCCTGGCCCCACTGCTGGACCTCCTGTTGGCACTTGGTATTTTTGGCCACTGTGTGACAGAGTGTTGGACTGGATGGGCCATTGGCCTGATCCAACATTGGATTCTCTTATGTTCTTATGTTAATTTAATAAAAGCATAAAATAGAAGTGTTTAATAGTTTCGTTATTGGCTCTTTTTGTGTTCTAACTGAGCTTATTTTAGTACATCATCTCAAGAACTGTACAGATTTCAAATGGTAATAATATTTTTAATATATTGAAGGAAGCCCTTATGGAGGAATATGCCATAGCAGCTCAAGTGTGGAAACTGAGCACTTGTGACCTGTGTGAAATAGCAAGGAACAGTGTACTACAAAGTGGTTTGTCAGATAAGGTAAATTTCAGTTGCTGAAGGAATAGTTGTATTTATCTTTTTCTATATTCTCTTCATGTATGTGACTACAACAGGAAGATTTGATCCCTTTTTCCTAATTTTCAGGAACCAGATAGTTAAATTTTACATCTCTGTATATAGTAATTCTGTTTTGGTGTGAACACTCCACATGCTCCCACAGCCATTGACTCCCTCAGCTGCTGCTATGAAGGTTTGCCAATCCCCTGGCTGCATTGCCTTGCTGCGTTGCCTCGGCCCCGCCCACAGAGCCGGCAGCCAGCATCTCGCCCTCAGTCTGGAGGGAGCCAGCGAAGGGGATGGACACTCCGCCGAGAGAGCAGCAACCCCTCCTCGGGGGAGGCAGACCTAGCGAGCAGCGGCAAGCAGGGAAAGCACTCACCTTCGCTGCCGCTCGTGGCTTTTCTCCCTTGGCCGCAAGGCCAGCACTTCATCAGGGTGATAGCTTAGCAGGCTGCACCGCAGAGAAGGCTGCCCAGCGCCTTTCAAAGGCTCCCCCGTCTTCCTTCAGCAGCGAGCTGCGGCTCCTGGAAAGCCGGAATCTCTCCTGAGGAAGACACTTCTCTTGGCTCCTGTGTGGGACTAAGTTTGACTAAATGTCCCCTCAGTGGCTGTTGGTAGGCAACCAAGCTTGCTTCTGTCAGTTAAAAAACAAAGGACTTTCAGCAGTGCCCTGCCCACTGCCAGCTTGGCCACTTTCCTGTCAGAATAAACTTTCAATGGCTCTCTCTCCTTTTTGGCTCCACCATGGCTGGCTGGCTAATGAGGTGGGCCAGCAACCATCAAACCATTCTCTTCAACCCCGTGCTGTGTAGCTGACTTTCCCCTAGGGTTGCCAATCTCCAGTGGGACCTGGAGATCTCCCGCTGTTACAATTGATCTCCAAATGACAGAAATCAGTTCCCCTGGAGAAATGGCTGCTTTAGAGGGTAGACCCTATGGCATTATCCCCTGCTGAGTTCTTCACCACCACCCAATACTGCCCTCCACAGATTCCACCCCCCAAATCTCCAGGTATTTCCCTAATTAGAGCTGGCTACTGTACTTTCTCCTCAGTGCCTGTTGCTAGGCAACCAGGTTCTGTCAATAAAAAGCCGTTTCCACACCTATTTTAGCCTTTGGGAGAAAACTCATTGGGGCCAGTCCTGATAGGGTTGCCAACTCCAGGTGGGAAATTCCTGGATATTTGAGGGATGGAGCCTAGAGAGGGTGAAGTTTGAGGAGGGGTGGGACCTCATACAGGTACAGTGCCATAGACTCCGCCCTCTAAGCCAGCCATTCCCTCATGGGGAACCATTGTTGGGGGATGGAGATCATTCAGAATTACAACTACTCTCTAGGAGGGAGGGGGAGGAGATGGAAAGCTGAAGCCAGGGGGCAGATAATGGTAGCTTCACTGAACTACACAAGCCCCCTCGCCACGACAAGGCAGTGATCCATGAGGGGGCAAAAGTAATAGTCAGTAGTCAGTAGTATAAAACTTACAGAACAGCATAAACAGCATACATAGTTTGCAAACCAATATAGTGCTAGTAATTTTACTTTGTTGTCAACAAGCTCAATGTAGTACCTGTAACCCACAATCTCTTTGAGGAAGGCGTGGGATAGATGCTATTTCTGCTGATGTCACAGTGGCCACTGTAGTGTTATTTCCATTTGTTCCAGCCTGCAGCGATTTTCTCATTATCCAGAACCACCCCTGCTGCCAGGATGATTCTTTCTATAGCTTTACCTGTCGGTCCTTTCCCCCAGAGGAGGGAGATGGCTTTTTCCTGACCAACTACTGATGTATATTCACTTGCTTTTAAAAATCAGAACAAGTCTGAGCTTATTTTTTCTATATGTCCCTTCCTTAGGAAAAACAGAAATTTTTAGGTGCAAATTATTGCCACGAAGGGCCTGAAGGAAATGACATTCGGAAGACAAATGTTGCACAGATTCGGATGGCCTTCAGGTTCGAGACCCTGTGCAACGAGCTGAGTTTTCTATCTGATGCAATGAAGACAGAAGAGATTACCGCGCTCTCAAATTAGTCATAGCTCCAATATCATGACTGTATTGCACAACTGCCAGGAGAGAAGTGTATGGACATAAGAGAGAACCTGCGCATCGACAGGAAAGAGAGCTGCTAGGTGACCAGAACTCTCAAGCTGCGTCAGGGTATGCAGCAGATCCAGCTTCTGCAAGCACTGCACGCAGGTTGGATTCCTCTATATATTCTGATGTAGGCTCACAAATCTATCCTTTATGCGGCACCTGGGATTTAAAAGTGCACTCTGAATCTAATATTTATAGTGTTTGCATCTGGGATATATATAACATTCTCCCTGGAAGCAAAAAGTATACAGGGACAGCAGCTTCTGGTAGCACACATGCCAAGTTTTAGTGGCAAGCAAATGTCTGTGGCACTTTAAGCCCCGATTAGACCGTAGAGCAAACAATGTACACAGTAAAAATTGTACTTTTTTTTTTAGGGAAATAAAAGAATATGACCAAAGAGCTACTACAAGTACATTGTAGGGAACCCTGTTCAGCACACATATCTACATTTTTAACTCCCCCCCCTCCCCCTGCAAATTTTGTAGTTCTATTAAGTACTTTGATGACGAGCAGCCAGTCCTGAATGTATGTTTGCGCTGATTACAAAGCAATCCTGAACCATGCCCACACTGCAGTGGCCAGCCCTGCTGTGCAGGGGCGGTGCCGCTCGTCAGCTCCCTAAGGGGCAAGTTACTCCAAAGAGCTACTACAAGTACATTGTAGGAAACCCTGTTAAGCACATATATCTACATTTTTAACTCCCCCGCCTCCCCCTGCAAATTTTGTAGTTCCATTAAATACTTTGATGACGAGCAACCAGTCCTGAATGTATGTTTGCGCTGATTACAAAGCAATCCTGAACCATGCCCACACTGCAGTGGCCAGCCCTGCTGTGCAGGGGCGGTGCCGCTCGTCAGCTCCCTAAGGGGCAAGTTACGCTGCAGCAGAGCGGGGGGGGGGGAAGGGTAGCTGGCTGCTTGCAAGGGTGCGTCCACAGTGATTCCACTGCAGTGTGGCCTCGTGGCGTAGTGTCAAGGCGGGGGCGGCATGAGGGGCGGGGCACTCCAGGTCAACAAGAGCGGCCAGTCCTGGGGCAGATGCCATTAGACATCACAGCTAGGGGGCAGGGAAGGGTGGCTTGGGACAGTCCCATTCTGTGCTTCCACCCCACCCTCCAGCAGAGACCCGCCGTGATGCGAGGCTTGCAGTCGCCGTGATTTGTTGTTTCTGCCATGCCACCATGTCCCACGGCCAGCCCCCCTAAACCCCACCCTCCCGAATACTTGGAGTCAGCCCACTGCAGTGGCTCCCCCTCGCCATTGGCTCAGGGAACCCCCGTGATCCCCTGCCCCCTTAGTGCTGCCTGCACAGATGCCTTCCCCCTCGGGTGACAGAGGACCCCCCCATTCCTGGAGCAGAGACAAGAGTTAGGAGCAGTGTTCCCTCTAAGCTGAGTTAGTGTGAGCTGGCTCACAATTTTTTTAGCCTCCAGCTCACGCATTTTTGTCTTCGCTCAGGGAGGACGGCTCCGGAGCAATCTAATGGATGCAGTAGCCAAATCGCCCGCTCACCACTTTAATGCCAGTAGCTCGCAAAGTACAGTTTTTGCTCACGAGACTCCACGGCTTAGAGGGAGCATTGGTTAGGAGCCTCATCCATTCACTCATTTTCTTAGTGGCCCTTCCCCCTGACGGCTTGCATCATTCTGTTCCCCTCTGTTTCATGCACACAGCAACCCCGTGAGGCTGGTCAGGCTGAGAGTATGCATCTGGGCCAAGGCCACCCACCTAGCTTCCATAGTACAAGTGGGAAACAGAATCTGGGTCTCCCAGGTCCACCCTCACGCTCTCACCACCATGATAAGCCAGCTTATTCACCCAGACCACCCTTTGGCCCCTCCCCCTTTCAAGAAAGAAGAGAAAGGGGGGGGGAACTTACCCAAAAAGAACTGAATCAAGAACCAAAAAGGTTAGTTATGAGCCAATATAGGGCCAATTACTAAAAACTATATGTATTATCAGGGGTCATTTCGTAGAAAAAGAGCTAGGGGAACTCATTAGCATATGCCACACCCCCTGACATCAGGGCCCCGGCGGTGGACCTGCAAGGCCAGCGGGAGTGCGAGGAAGCCCTGCCAAGGCCCTCCCTGGCCCCAGGCAGGCAGGGGTGGGGAGAGGCGGGGAGGAAGCAACTTACCCTCCCTCTTCTCCTGCCTCCTCCTGGCTGAATGAGGGCTGGAAGCGGGGCGGCCGGAAGCAGGGGGCGGGGCTTCGTCATGTGCCCCGCCCCCCTGCACCTCACCCGGGGGAACTGCGTTCCCCCGCGTTCCCCCCCGAAATGACCTCTGTGTATTATATGTAAAACTATAAGTATTATGAAAAATACATGTATTTATTTTTCAAACGGTTAAAAACATTTATGGGCCCACCTGCAGCATAAAAATGCCGTGTGTACAAAAGGGAACTATTGCGACCCGACACGTTTCAGCCAAATTGGCCTTCTCTAGTGGTCATACAATATCTGTACGTTAAGGCTCATGATACAGTTTGTAAAACAATATACAAAAACAATATACAAGTTGATACAGGACCAAGAAAGGAGTTTAGCAATCGAGAATAGATCAAGTCAAAGTCAAATGCCTTTTATTGGCATACAATATTAAAATAAACATTTCCCAGTATTAATACAATCCAGTTAAGATTATAAAATAGACAATCGTGGTAAACCATTCCAAGGATATGTCAGGCCTATAACATACCTCAAGTTGTCACAAGATAGATTTAACCATACAGAAGATAGCTGAGTCGTACAATAAATTGAAATCTAAACTTTTAAACTTAAGTTTTTTAAAATTATAAATTAAGAATCATTAATATGCTCAGTCGTTCTTCCGTTTTATAAAACCATGAAGAAACTTAGCGGTCAGTTCAATGATCTCCGGGTCTCGTGAAGCAAGGAGATCATGTACCTTGTTTCTATCCGGTTGGCCTGCTACCAACCTAAGGGGGGCTTCTATAAATTCCACTCGAATGTCATTTAACAATTTACAGTGTAAGTGTACGTGCTCAACCGTTTCTATTTCTCTTCTATTACATTCAAGAATAGATCACACAAGGCAAAAGAATGTTTGTGAGGCCTCCTTGAGTCTGCCCTTGTGCTTTAGTCAATTGCACACCCATGCTGAGTGATGCTTCTTATTGTATGCCTTCCAATTTTTGTCCAGAAAGTCCAGGTGCCGCCTACTGATCAGAGCCAATGTACCATAGATTGTATGCATCACAAACATAGTTTCCCTTTGTGTACATTGCATTTTTATGCTGTAATGAGGCTACAGGTGGGCCCATAAATGTTTTTAAGCGTTTGAAAAATGACTCCATGTGTTTTTTATCATACTTAGGTTACACATATAGTTTTTAGTCATTGGCCCTATGTTGGTTCATAGGTAACCCGCCCACCTTCACACAGAAGCTTGCGAGGTGAGTGAGGGAACCTGTCTGTGCACCTGCGTCCCTGGCTATGTATGGCAGATTATGAGTAGTGTAACCCGTGCAACCCTCCGCAGCCACCCACAGCACCTGACAGCCCACTCTCTGAGAGAGACGTCCTTAGGAAGCCCGCAGATGGGAGTCGCAGATGGAGTGGGGAAGGGAGGGTGTGTAGCAGAGATACAGATGTGGCACAACATAGACTTCATTGCACTGGAATCCATGCAAGGTGTGAGGTCCGTCCACTTCCACCCCGGGGACTGAGGATCCCCGGCATTGCATGACCCTAAGTGGAATGGCATCACAGTTGGAACTTGGAAGGGTTTGCCAGGCGTGATGCTCCACTTCCAGAGGAGGGCTGGAACAGCGGACTGAGCAGAGTGCTTGGGGGGGGGGACATGTCACACCCACAAAGACCCTCTGTTGAATCTCCATCTGCAAGACAGAACAAGCAGAGCCATGGCAACCAGGCACGAGTACCATGCCAGCCTCAGCCATGGATGTCTTGTCCTGACAGGGTCTGCAAATGCAGTTTGGGGGGGGGGCTTGCCACAGCCCCCCCTCTTGAGGTGCATGATGGAACCAGCCAATTCTGTCCTGTGTTGAAGTGCTCCTGGATTGCTTGCAATCCATCTGCCACGGCAGCTGCAGCAGACTCAGGCCTCGGATTCTGCAAGGGAACGAGTGAAGGGGACGCTTGCCAAGCGGGTTCACCACATACAGCGGAGGCGTCGCCAGACCCCCTTCCCCCACCACAGACATGCCCTGCGTCCTGCCAAGGGTGGGAACTAGGCAAATGACAGGGCATTCTCTCCCCCCCCGCCGCCAGATCTGGAAGACTTCCCAGGGAACTTTTCCCCAGACATATTAGCGGCTACGGCACTGCGCGGCCGCGGCTTGTGCCACTCCACAGCTGAACTCAGTGCTCGGCTTGAGTGCAGGAGATGCAGTCATGTCACCCAGGCTCAAGCTAGGGGAGTGGGGGACCGGGTTTGGGATCCTTGCTCTCGCTTACCTGTCAGTACGCTGTTGCCCCTGTGGGCTGAGCCTGCAGAGGTGGGGTGCCTGCGAGGATTCTGAAGTGGAAGAGGTCAGTCACAGAGTATGGACTTTGCTCGTCTCCTTGGGTGTCAGCGCCAGGTGCTCGCCCAGTAGTGCTAAGTGCTCTCTCTGTGCTTCTGCCACCACCCAAGTGCCTCACCGCTTGCTCTAAGTCCGCATGGCCGGGAGCTTTGAGACGGAGTCCCATGCCACGCACCCCAACTACCGAGTTGTAAGATGTCCTGGTGGGATTGTTTGTAGGAGGGTTCCAGGGAGGGGGCTTGGCCTCCATGGCGAGGGAGGGAGGTGGTTGGCCAAGCTTGTAGACAGCATCCTGAGCGCCTCCGAGCCTAATGGGCAAGGCCACAGTGGTGGCGGACAGCTTGATCTTCAAGTTCAGCGTGCGCTTATGGGCCACGCCATGTGTTTTGTTGGCGTAACTTTCCACATCTGGAAGGGGATGATCCCAGGCTGGAAGGGCTTAGGGAGCTGACTAACTCTGGCCATGCCCCCAAACCCACCGACAACCACACCAGCCCAGGGGCCTATGTCGCAGTTGTGCCAAAGGGTGTCCGCCACAGCCACAAGCAACATAGCGCCACTGGGGGTCTGTGCCATCGTAAGTGGAGCTTTCAGACCCCCGCCTTTTAGGATTGCTCTGTTAATCACATTTGTGGTGATATTGGGGGCACCTTATCCTAAATTGTTTAACTAATGTTGTCACAAGTCTTGAGGACTGTCTTTTGAGTTTATTTTGAATAAGCAGCATTGAAAATGAAGGTATTGTTTCACGTTTCTCTTGTGTAGTGGGTATTTATGGGTTAGTTCCATTGAGAAGAGTGAGTACTGGAGACCTGTGCTATTTATAAGAGTATTGTTTTTTTAAAAAAATATTCAAGTCGAGCTAGTTGTGGGATCGAGGGGAGAAAAATTGGGTTTTATATTTTTATGTTACCTATTTTATCTATTTTGTTAATATTGTAAACTGCCTTGAGCTCCATTGAAGAAAAGTATCTAATAAAGAAATATTTTAAATAAATAAAATAAAATATGGAAGCACAAGGACCTCCTTGTAAGCCCCTAAACGGCTTCTTGTAGGCCAGTTCAAAAATTAGACTGTTCCTGTGACTGTCTGTGCACAAATTTGAAACTGCC